AAGATCCCGGGTGTCCTCACGGGGACGCCAACCGGCGACCTTCTTGCTGCGAGGCGACGGTGCTAAGTGACATGTCAGAGGGAGATGTTGTGCTTTCTGCTGCACTACATTCATCAAACAGCTTTAGTTACTTTTAAGGTGAAGATTTTACACGACAGATAATAAAACAAGCTTTTATAATACGACATGTTGCTGCAGATTAAACAGTGTGTAGTCTGACGTCTGTTAGTTAACAAATTTCACCAAACAGAGATTTTTTTCCCTCTAAACTTCTCACATTGTCTCATTTCAATAAACATTCAAATAGTCAAACATCTCCCATAAGATTTGAGAAAAACTGAAAACACATTTACTGTGTTTTTCTTCTTTCCTCTCCTGTTAATCATGTTTTTGTCTTCTGACCCTGAATATAAAACTGGATATAAAGCAGCTGAAGCAGCTACAACATGCTGCCGACACGCTGATGACCAATAATAATATAATGATGCCATATGTAATAAAATATTAATCAATGGGAGCAAAGCAGCAGGTTTACTTTAAAGGAGGAAGCATTTTCTATCATTTTTGTTGGGTTTTGACCCTGAATATGTAGCTTTCTCAGGTAACTACAGGGTGGTAGCTCCAGTAACTGAACATGTAATGCCAGTAATAATCTTTGTCTTAATGGAAAGCACTTTGGTGGTTATACAAACACTTCTTTATTTAAATTGCTTTAAGTTATTGGAGGAAACACTTTCTCATCCTCCCTGTACTACTGTGTATGAACAGCAACATGACAATAAACCTGATTTGATTTACCACTTCCGACTAAACACTTGTGCACCTTTATTAGGATTTTTCACACAGGACTTGAGTATTTTACTGTCGTACTGGTAGTTTTACTGCAGTACAGAGTCTGAATACTTCCTCCACTCCTGCTCTTCAGTGTAAAGTCTCGTTAGGAGACACTTCCATGAGGTAAACGCTTGCTCTCAGCAGGATTACAGCTTCCCTCCACTGGACTGTTTTGGGCTCATTATCTGCTGCAAATCCGACTAAAAACAATAAAATCACAACAAAACAAAAAAACTCCGCAGCTGCAGAGATATGATGAACTATCTGATAATCTAATCAAAGCCCAGTTTTGGGTTTTCTGACAGTTTGGGTGTATTTTTAGGTCGGACGGCTTGCGTGCCCTCGCTCTCCTGCTCTAGATTATACTGTAACAGGATTACACTTTCATACTGTGTGTGTGTGTGTGTGTGTGTGTGTGTGTGTGTGTGTGTGTGTGTGAGATGAAGTTTGTTTACAAGTTCCATCCAGCTGAATGTACTTTTCTGCCTCTGCCCCGCTCTATACAATAACGCATCTCTGAAATGCACAGCTAATGACCGTGCAGCAGCAGCAACAAAAGGCCGAGCTCTGGGCCTTTAATGCCTCCGATTGTGGTGATAATAGTCACACACTGGGCGCACTGAGGCCCCCTGTGAACTCCGCTGTGTGTTTTCTGGTGACTGAGCCTATAGAAATGTACCACATCGGACACACAACACAGTTCTGCAAGTGTGAAGGAAGCACCGCACACACACACACAACACACACACACACACTCACACACACACACACACAGACACACAACACTGGCGCCAACAACCCCCCTCCTCCCCCACCCCCCCTCAACTGACCTCTAATTATGTCATGCGAAAAAGCTGTGTCCCATTGAAAAGCTCTCTTAATCAAACCCAATTAATTCCGCTATTTTCCCTTATTATCCTTTGCAAGGAACGCGTCCTTCCAATAAGACTGTTAACTCCAGCCGTGGCCCTTTCAGATCTGCTGGGGTGCAGGAGCAAAATAATGGACCGCACAATTAGTCAATTAGTCATTAGGGACTCGGTTGGTCCTCATCAACACGGTTACCGTGCAGCAGCAGCAGCAGCAGCAGCAGCTTCCTCACGGCTACTCGTCTTCCTGTCAACAACTCGTGTCCTGTGGCGTTTCTGAGGCTGAAAATATGCAAATGAAAGTGCTGCTCACCTTCATGGTTTCATGTTATCACTCAGAGGTTTGAGACACACGGTAATGCTGTACTGAGTTACTCATCAGTGTGTCTACAGGATAAAACAAAACACTTCCCGACTATTTAGTTACAAATCTATTGTTGAAAAATGGACGTATGATGTTGTTTAATAGTTTATATAGAGTGAAAAATAGCACATTTTCTGTTATTTAATGGTAAATCTGTAGTCGTAAAGCTGGAAATGTGAAAAAATAATTTGTAAACTAACAGAAGAAGTTCTGGCAGCTCCTCATCTGGACTTTGTCCTCTAATAGAAATGATTTATTTACTTATTTTCTCTTATTTAATAGTAAATCTATAATAAAAATAGACATTTGCTGTCTAAAGTAGAATCATAATAGTTAAATATTAATATTTTTGTAAAAGATAGTTTTTTGCTGTTATTTTATACTTTGTTCAGTTGAACTACAAATAATAACTGATTACATTTTTAATTAACTTGCATGTTAACCATTAAAAAAATGGCCAAAATTATAAATAATGTCCACAAATAATTTCTGGTTAACAACTGATTTTTCTCACATTTTTCTGGTAATTTTACCGCCAGTTTTGCACAGAGAGGTTTTTTTTGTTTTTTTTTTTAAATTAAAAAAAATTACAAATTAAATTAAGCAGCTTTTAATGTAAATTCTAACGTATTTATGACATTTTCTGTTAATCTTCAGGTGATCATCTGTAAACTCATTAATGCCATTTAATGGTGGTTATTACTGTAAAAGTATAAATTCTATTTTATTTATCAAATTATGACGTGTAAATTAATCAGAACATCTACATACTACAGCTGAGGCACACAGAGTAACTGTTCTTTAGCTCTTTTTAAATGTGCAGTTTGTTGTTATATATGTTTTTTTCTGGAACCCTTTTTTTGTGGACATGTAGATAATTTACTAAACATAAAATGCGTCTCCAAACTCTTTTATTAAATCAATATCTATAAGCCTATATGTGCAGTTTGGCTTCTGTTGCAGGTGAACACTATGAAAGACAAACAGGCTTAAATTGATCGTGTTTAACTGCTTCTTTATTTTATCGTGAGCAGACAGATTGATGCTCAGATTTACTACCAGGGAGGATTAAAGTGTGTCTCACAAGTCTCAGCTTTGTTTTATTCAAACATCTTGTGA